TACTGAGGCGATAGGGTAGCCTAGCGGATAAAGCGTTCGCTCGTCGTTCCATTCCTCACTTGGTTACAATGTGTGAAACCCATTTCTGGTGTCCGTCGTCGTGATATTGCTGGAATATTTCTAAAGGCGGCGTAAAACTTAAGTCACTCACTTACTATAGACTAACAACTAGTGTCTTCAATGAACATATTTTACAGAAAAAAAACAGTTCATAGTAAAAAGATAAACTATAATGAATAGGAGCCCTGAGACTTTAGACTTGCCACATATTCTAGACTTGCATGGGCTTTCTTGGGTATGACAGACTATCACGTACAACTACTACTACTACTACTATATCTAAACCTGCTCCTATCACTGTTTCTAGTATCGTCCTTTCTGTGTCATATTTCGAGTTCTCGTTTATGTGCAAGCTTCCCATTGTAGTAGATGTTAACACGATACACAACACCAAGAAGATCTTCCGAAACAGGACATTGAAGCTAAAAAACTCCTTCAGCCAGTGATGACACAAGCATGGCAAGAAAAGAAGAAAATGCGTTTTATTAAGGGCAGATTGTTCAACAATGGGACCCTGTACAGACCGTGAACATTATACCTCATAGTGTGATATTATCTGTAAACACAAAGGGACATGTGTGACCCTGGAAATACGTGAAACTGTGTTCATTTTCAGTTCAAATATATACATTTAAATAATGATTATACTCGTTGACAGTTGTGGTACAAGGATTGTACTTTTTATTGAGAACTTTCTTTATATGCGAATACATTTGGTATGTTATTTGGTATGTTATCTTCAAGGAACAATAAGTCAATATTTTACAGGTATCACTTTCCCTATTTTACAGACATGGTGTTATTCAGGAGTAAAAGTAGTCTACTCCCTTTTATTTTAGGTATATATACACTATGCCGACAACCCTTTACATCAGGTCTCTACAGAAGGAGTTAGTTTTCTTGAATTTGTTACCTTTTTATTGTTTTTCTTGCTTAAAGAGTGAATATTGTTACGTGCCGCATCAGTGCGTTCCCTCCAGACACCTCCCCTCCTGACTCGTCTGGGGTTTATATCTCTCGGCATTTAGCACAAACAGTATGTTTGTCACGTCAGCCTTACAACACAATACACACTTACTTTTCCTGCACAAAGAGTAATTGAAAAGAGGTGACCTTGGCCTCTAGATAGCCGCGTGTACGTAAATTGTCATGGCAACAGTGACACCCATGTCGTCGTACCTGTCTTCAAAGCCCTGCACACTCTTACATGAACATCCCCGAAATATTCGATGCCATATATGGGCATACATCAGCAGGCACGTGTCCCGGCTGATACGTAAGATCAACGTAACGCAGTCGGGTGTGTACATTTACCGTTGACAACGGGATCGGCGGTAATGAGATGCGTCGTCACGGACAACCCTACCGGGACAGCCAAATTTGACATCAGCAGATTTAGAGGGTAACTCGGAACATGGAGGGTAAATACCTTATTACCAGCATAACCTACGTGTTATACACACACATGGCGACAAAACTGATTGTTTCGACATGTTCTTGTCAAATGACAGAACCTCGGTTATCCGTTCAAAGCATTTTTGAAGCTGTATGGTTGATGCGACATAAATATGAACTTTTTAAAAATTTAAGGGTCACGCATCAATGCCAGTGTTGGAATAAGCATTATGAAATGCTCACCAGCAAACGCGTCACATTATAAACTATGAGTCTCGGGCCCTGCATCCTTGTGAAAATATCATCTTCTGAAGGATTTCACTCGTTCCGTGGCGTAAAATAGTGGGCGGTTTTTATCAAGCTCCTTTCAACACTGCAAATCAATAATCAGTTTTAAGGACCGTATATGGTCCCTCTGCCATTTTGGTTTATGGAATATATTTGTAACAGTGCCTGTACGAAGAGGTTCATTTAGCATCAGTGCGTCACTGATTGTAACAACTGTAGGTGTATCTTGCGATTAGAACTCGCCATGACTATATGAGTCCATATTTCATGTGCGTGATTGGAGTGCATCTCTGGAGTGCTACCGGTGTATCATATACATGCATAATCATTTCAATCAATTTAGGTATTGTCATTTTCAGGATTACCTGAGTGACGAGGAAATAAGGTCAATAACCGGAATTATTCTACAGATATGAAACATGAATAATACAAGAACATCACGCGTTAGGCTAATGCGAACAAGCACCTACCTGATGCCACAACGCTTTAGAACAAAACTGGGTATACTTCTTTTGTCGTTCCGTCTTCTCTCAATCCCACAGAATCAATGATCTTCATCAAACGCCAGTAATAGTACCATCCCACTACGCCGACGTTAAAAAAAGCCGCCCGCGGTTGACGAGTTTGCAACCTGGGGAGTATGTTTACTGTGCAAATAGGTGCAAATGAAACGGGAGAAGGTTGGATTTGAATGAATGCCTGTTAAGCCCTGAGTACACATCTCACGTTGGGGAATGTACAGGCTATAGACGAGGTAGATAGAAGATTGAGGTGACGGGGTCGAGAGCGGCGTGGACGTCTCATTACGACACGGGGTGATTACGGCGATGTGACATGGGGGGAACTGACACAGGGTAACAGTGTCAGGTTTCGGGGGGAAGTGCGGCAGTCTGCCTCTGTCGGTGTTAAACTTGTTCACGGTAAATGAAGTACACGCTAGTGATAATTGATTTCAGTAATTTAAGGTACAAATTCCATTTCTAAAGATTACTAGTTTATACATAGAACAAGTGTTATGTTACATACATTTGTTAATGTGTTAACGGTACACATGACTATGTAGAAAGCATATATAGAGTGTGTCATGACGCTATCAGAAAGTGTTTCACCACCTCCACTGAAGGCCGTGCTCTTGGATGAGGTTAACAGTTTGCATCACCTTCAAATATTCCACAAAATAAGGAAACTTCAAAAATCGCACACGCACACGATGAGCATGTCACGTCACAAGTTTCGTTCTTTTGGCGAGGATACGGAAGAACAATTTTGTAAATAGAAAACTTTTTCTCTTGGAGGACATACTTTTTTCTTCTGTTTCACAAAGTAATTTGCCGTCTGAAACTTCCAATTTTAAGAAGTGTGTCACTTATCTCACTTACAGTGTCAGTCACGACCAGTGTGACCTCTTCCACTCCTGCAAGGTGTGACGGGTGGCCCAGTAGTCCATGGCGCCGCAATTCGCTCCACAGAGTTGCCCCCCCCTTGGGCACATCAGAAATCTGTGACCGTAAGCTTGCCTGGATGATGATTCTGGGTTTGTCTGCACCATACCGGTGCCAGTGGGTTTCAACAAAGTGGTGAATGTGTTACTCCTACATTGCAGCCACACGCCATGGAAACTGGACTGCTGTTTAACAGCGGCATTAAACCCAACTCGCTCACAGCTTATCACAGCTCACTGGTTTCGTATGTTCAGCGATACCTTACCTTTGTAACCAAAGACGTAAATATATTTTAAACATAATTCAAAGAAAAAAGGCGTTTTAGTCACAGTATCTTGATTTGTCTGTTTGTCATTTTAACTTCTTTGGAATGGTATGTGCAAATGTGTTGTCTTAAATTCTAACAGCGCCTTACCAAGCTAAAAGTTGAGAGTGAATGTTGATCAGCAACAGAGCAGCTATATCTCGGCATAGTCAGGTCTGGAACAAGCAAACCATGCAGTGGCCAACACATGTAGCATACGCTGTCATAGTCGGATGACACACAAACAGGTCACACGTACTCTTAATGAGTTTGTTTCTCCCATGAGGTATTTTGAACTTGGACGTGGGCCTGTACTCGGACCTGGTTACATATAGACATAGGCTCAGACTCAGGACCAGGCTCAAACTCAGACACAGACCCAAACCTGGACACAAACACAGGATCAGGCTCATACTCAGACACAGACCCAAACCTGGACCTAGACTCAGACCCGTACCTAGACCTAGACCCAGACTCGACCCCGAACCGAGCCAAGACCTAGATCTAGACCTTAACCAAGACCTTAACTCACGTTTGGACCCAGACCTAGACCCGGACCTGGACCTATATACACACACCGACCCGGACCTGGACCTATATACACACACCGACCCAGACCTAGACCCGGACCTGGACCTATATACATACACCGACCCAGACCTAGACCTGGACCTGGACCTATATACACACACCGACCCGGACCTGGACCTATATACACACACCGACCCAGACCTAGACCCGGACCTGGACCTATATACACACACCTACCCAGACCTAGACCCGGACCTGGACCTATATACACACACCGACCCGGACCTGGACCTATATACACACACCGACCCGGACCTGGACCTATATACACACACCTACCTAGACCCGGACCTGGACCTATATACACACACCGACCCAGACCTAGACCCGGACCTGGACCTATATACACACACCGACCCAGACCTAGACCCGGACCTGGACCTATATACACACACCGACCCGGACCTGGACCTATATACACACACCGACCCAGACCTAGACCCGGACCTGGACCTATATACACACACCGACCCAGACCTAGACCCGGACCTGGACCTATATACACACACCGACCCAGACCTAGACTTGGTCTCAAACCTGGACTTGGAATCCCTAAAGTAAACCTATTCTGATGTCTCAAACAATAACTACCCATGGTAGTTGTGTTGACAGATGTTGTCTTTCATTATCAAAAGAATTGTATAAAAAGGGTTCAGGTTCTATTTTTTTAGTCAAAATGACAGGAAGGAAGTCTAAACATCATCACCCAAAACAATGTTTAGAAATACAACCGGGGACGAATACGAAGGGTTTTGCTGTTGTATTCACATTTCATTGACCTATTTCACATTCCATAAAATAAATCTCATTTCAGATGGCAAATGTGCAAAATGTGCACTTGTAATCTATCCATAAATCGAAATTAATATTTTGCTTTCGTTTCATGCAATATAGCTAACGAAACTCCGTAAAATGAATCCCTCATATTTGAGGGTAAAGGAATTTGCAGTCAAAGGGAGGTCACTCTCAATCATCATCTTTTGCGACGATGGAAGAAGATTTGGATGAAGATGTTATTTTCGAGGTACTTATTATCATATTAAGAGATTTATTGTGGCGGCAGCTTGTGGTTTCGTGTATGATAATCGCGTACACTTTCTAGTTCACATGGATTATATATCGTGCATGAGAAAGACATTGCTGGGGACAACCATCCAAGTTGTCCTATTTTCGATCGCAATTGCTAAACACTCTACACACAAGCATGAAATGAGTGTCAGTTTCAACATAGTCAAATCCATAGCGAGAGCAGTTGGTACATTAGTCGTCTTTCTTCAGCAAATCCAGACCTGCATCCATGTTCTAAATCTTGATGATGCTTGTTGAAATGTTTTTAGCTTTATAATTGTAAAATAGTGCACTGATTATATGCTCTCTGGTTTAAAGGAGATTTGTACTTCGAATATGCCAAGTTAATATTAATACCTGTTTGCTGATAGTCGACATTGGTGATGTGTTCCTGATGTAAAGTCCTTCCTATTATTTAAATCCATGCATAATCCATGAATTTCTGAATCTGTATTCAATTTTAATCTGTTTGACATATGCTATCCATGATGCTTGATCAACCTTGTCAAGTCCATGTATGTAATGTTTCGTATGTCTGTTGTTACCCATTAAGAACTTAGTTCAGTAGGTAATACATGTAACACATTTTGAAACAAATGCAGTCTTTGTCCCACTGTCTCCTGGAACAGCTACATTACATGCAGTTTTCGGAGATACATTATTTTCTTGAAATATTTCATGTGTACTCTTTGAATTTGTTCAAAGCGTTGAAATCCCTAAATTTCTGCTCCATGTTAAAATAGGTAAAACCATACAATAAACTAGAGTTGATGCAACAGAGATTGGAAATCCACCACAATATAATGAAGTCGGAAAATATTGTGACACTTTTTCTGATTGCTGTGTATACTGTTGTGGCGTGAGTTCATACACCTTCTGATGTGAACATCACTCCTAAATATTTGTACTATTTGTGACCTATATCATGTCAAATCCTAAATAATAGTTTGCATGTTTTCAGAATTCTCCCCTGTACCAACACCTGAGGGAGGCAGGGGTGGAGGGCATAGATGCAGAACCAGTCCGAATCAGTGGGAAAAGCTGCCACCAAACAGATCAAGTGCAAGCACCTGTTGTATGTCATGTATAAAATCAGTACTTGTGCATTCTGTTGAGCATAGGCTTTGTTACCAGTAGGCTATTGCATTGAAGCAGTATGTTCTATTAATATTCACACATTTTAATAAGAATGTTCTCAGATTTCCCCATGTGTTATTCTGTGTTAATGCGTGATCAAAACTATTGATGATGTCAAATGGAGCACAATCAGAATGGTTGGTGTGTATCAAATATCTTGGCACTACATGTATTATTTATATATAGACATAAACACTGACATCCAAACATGTGTTTCAGCCCTCAGCAGTGTCCAGAGTGTCGAACATCTGCAAGAAGTGTTTCATCTTTCTTTCAACGCTCCTCCGTAAACACAACAATCAGACAGACACAGTGGTGAGTAGGGGGGCAGGTCCTGCCCTTGTAGGAAGTTGATTATCTTCCACCGTGACCTGTCCAGTGTTCACTCACTCATACATCTTCCTCCTTGACAGGTGGACCAGTACAGGCACCAGGTGTTGTCTACACTGCGGTCATCCAGAGTTCTTGTGGAGGATGACCAGGTATTCCTGCAGGACTTTGTCGAAGAGGAGCCACACCTACCTGATGGTCGACGCCTATCCACGACTCACAGGCTCTGGCTGAAACTCATGTAGGTACACTGTTGCTTGTATACCATGTGAGAACCTCTGGAACACCATATCTGCTTATTTGCAGTAAAGGCTGTCAAGTTGTTGTTGTTTAGTGATCTCTGTAGTGTGGTGGTGTTAACGTTGCATTCAATACTGTTGTGAATGGTTTTACGCTGCTTTTAATAATTTTCCAGCACTATCACAAAAAGGCACACCAGAAATGGGCTTCACACAATGTTCCCATGTGAGGAATCAAATCCAGGCCTTGGGCATGACAAGCCAACACTTTAACCACTAGGCTACCCCACTGCCCCACTTTTGAAGTTCCATGCATGCATGTGTTCAAGAGTAATGTATATATATAGAATGTAAGATAAGTGCATTGGGACCTGTATTGAGAACGAGAACATGTCATGGTAGGAGAGAGACAGCGAGTTTGAAGAATGAGTTGTTTCTTGCCTAACATGACGTCTTCGTGTTATCATAAGATAAAATGCTATCATAAGATTAAATAGGTATATAATACAATCAATGCTGGTTTTATACTGCTGGTACACTGAATGAGTGAGTGAGTTTGTTTTTACGCCGCTTTTAGCAATACTCCGGCAATATCTCCGTGGGGGACACCAGAAATGGGCTTCACACATTGTACCCATGTGGGGAATCGAACCCGTGTCTTCGCATGACGTGCCAACACTTTAACCACTAGGCTACCCCACCGCCCTTGGTACACTGAGATACAATGCCACAGTTTTAATATGGATGCCCAATTCAGACACAGGATACTAAATAGTAGTAAACCAGTCTATGTTTTATTCCCTTGGAGCCAAATGCCAGACAGGGTAACGATTGGTACCATAGTTTACCGTTTTCTCCTCTGATGTAACCAGGGATTGAACAACCAACCTTCTCTTCTCAGGACAGACAGTTGATCCATTAAACCATCGACTCAGGACAGACAGTTGATCCATTAAACCATCGACTCAGGACAGACAGTTGATCCATTAAACCATCGACTCAGGACAGACACTTGATCCATTAAACCATCGACTCAGGACAGACACTTGATCCATTAAACCATCGACTCAGGACAGACACTTGATCCATTAAACCATCGACACAGTTCTTATTAATACAGTAGTAATGAGTGATCTTATATGTTGGAAATGTAACTGTTCTGGCAGTTGGTACTCTAGAACCCACAAAAAAATCTATAAACGATCTATACATCATGTGTGTCATCTTGATCCTCCTGTTTGTAAGAAGCAGATGACTCAACTCTTTCTCAACATTGTCTTCTTTGGCAGATTCCCGTCAGTCCTTGTACCATGTATGGTAGCTTACATCGTAGCCCGTCTGACAGACAGTGGCTCCCCCTACAGTGGGACCTCTGACCTGGTAGCAGGAGCTGTGGCAATGTTGGGTGCAGTGTACGGAGCTGTGCAGGGGATGGAGTACAGAAAGCGGCGTCAGTACAACCGACTGTACAACACGTTCACACATTTCCTGGACACTTTCCTCAGTCTGGTGACTGTTTCACGCAAAAGTCTTCGGTTGATACAGGAAACGGAACTTGTTGCCAGAGGCTTCACCTTGTAAGTGCGGGATTTCACCAACTTCAAGTAATCTTTCTCTGTGGTGACTGGCCAGATGAAGAGAAAATATGTCACATTGCTTTGTTGTTCAGATCAATACGAGATAACATCTGTAGTGGAACAAGTTTTACAGACCGACAACTTCTCTATTGCTCTATGCGTCGATTCGGTGTAGATGCTAACACCATTTTCAAGCAAGTGATGTCAAACATCAACATCACATCCATTGCAATATAGGAGTTGTCAGTCCGTACAACCCAGATAGCATTCAGACGTTGGCCAAACATTGGCAATGGTTTTGCCAACGTTGGGTCAACGTCCGAATGCTATCTGGGAACTTGTTCCTCTTCATCATAGCCACTTCCGAATGCCACTTAACGATAGCATCTTCTGTTGGTCATCAGTAACCATCAAGTCGAGCACGTCATAGATATTTATGTATAGAATGTAAGCTTATACAATGTCAGCTGACCTGAGTTCAGTCACATGACCTTACATTGTGAACACTGTCCACTGTTTACTGGTATATTTGGAGATCTACTGATACCAAACATGTTCACAGCTTTAATGTCTTTAAATGTATGTAGTTGAATACATCCCTCAGGACATTAACACATGCACAAAACACATGATGCTGCTGCAACTGATGATGCAGGGGATTACTTTAATTAATTTAGAGGTGTGCATAAACTATGGACAGTGAACATTCCAGTAGCCATTCAGGCTGGTTCCATTTCAGGAGGGCAAGTTGATTCTTCTTTCAGAGTCAAAACATTCCAGTGATTTCGCCTGTCTAAATCATGTCATGGTTGATATAAGTTCTGTATGAGTTTGCATCTTGTTGCATCAGTTTTACCTGTTTACAATGCATGTTTAAATGGCAAGTGAATTCCGAGCTGAGAGCCAGCCACAAGAACAATAGTATGGGATCATCATAATGTGATTTTAAGAATCGTGATCTCCCGAGATGAACACTGTGGGGACATTAAATCTGACTGCCTGTTGTGTTGACTTCAGAGTGAGTCAGAAGACCGCAGTGTGTCAACTGGACAGGAAGCCGTCTGCTGCCACCAGGAGGCAGTGTCCTCAACTCCGCAGGTGTCTGTTTGCTACAGCCCGGACCACCACGCTGCTGCTTAGAGAGACCACACTCAAACTGATCCATAGGTAAGGGGTGCACTGATGTAGAACATTGCTTAAATGTTGCCGATATATGGAGAGAGAGTTGGTAGAACACTGCTGGAGAGTTGGCAAAACATAGCTAGGGAGTTCCCATAACATTGAAAGAGCATTGCCCAGAATTCTGCTGGAGTTGCCAGTGTGTTGGCAGAACATTGTCAGTGTTGCCTAACTCTGCTAGATTGCAAGAACATTGTTGGAGATTTGTCACAAAGTTGGTTTTACATTGTTGCCAAGTTGGTAGGACATTGTCTCAAAATTGGTAGGACAATAGGACAACATCACAAAGTTGGTTGGACTTCTTGATGGGCATTTTAGAGTTGGTAGGACATTGTTGCTGAGTTGGTAGGACATTGTCACAAAGTTGGTAGGGCATTGTCACAAAGTTTGTTGGACATTGCTACAAAAATGGGAGGACATTGTTGCTAAGTTGGTAGGACACTGTTGTCAAGTTGGTAGGACATTGTCACAAAGGTAGTAGGATATTGTTGCCAAGTTGGTTGGACATTGTCACCAAGTTGGTAGGGCATTGTCACAAGTTGGTTGGACATTGTCACAAAAATGGGAGGACATTGTTGCCAAGTTGGTAGGACATTGTCACAAAGGTAGTAGGACATTGTTGCCAAGTTGGTTGGACATTGTCACAAAGTTGGTAGGACATTGTCACAAAAATGGGAGGACATTGTTGCCAAGTTGGTAGGACACTGTTGTCGAGTTGGTAGGACACTGTTGTCGAGTTGGTAGGACATTGTTGCCAAATTGGTTGGACATTGTCACCAAGTTGGTTTGACATTGTCACAAAAATGGGAGGAACATTGTTGCTATGTTGGTAGGACATTGTCACAAAGTTGGTAGGACATTGTTGGTAGGACATTGTCACAAAGTTGGTAGGACATTGTTGTCAAGTTGGTAGGATATTGTCACCAAGTTGGTATGGCATTGTCTCAAGTTGGTTGGACATTGTCACCAAGTTGGTTGGACATTGTCACAAAAAATGGGAGAACATTGTTGCTATGTTGGTTGGTAGGACATTGTCACAAAGTTGGTAGGACATTGTTGTCAAGTTGGTAGGATATTGTCACCAAGTTGGTATGGCATTGTCTCAAGTTGGTTGGACATTGTCACCAAGTTGGTTGGACATTGTCACAAAAATGGGAGAACATTGTTGCTATGTTGGTAGGACATTGTCACAAAGTTGGTAGGACATTGTTGGTAGGGACATTGTCACAAAGGTAGTAAGACATTGTTGCCAAGTTGGTAGGGCATTGTCACAAACTTGGTTGGACATTGTCACAAAAATGGGAGGACATTGTTGTTAAGTTGGTTGGACATTGTCACAAATTTGGTAGGACATTGTCACAAAGTTGGTAGAATATTGTCACCGAGTTGGTATGGCATTGTCTCAAGTTGGTTGGACATTGTCACAAAAATGGGAGAACATTGTTGCTATGTTGTTAGGACATTGTCACAAAGTTGGTAGGACATTGTTGGTGAATTGGCAGGACATTGTTACAAAGGTAGTAGGACATTGGTGCCAAGTTGGTAGGACATTGTCACCAAGTTGGTAGGGCATTGTCACAAACTTGGTTGGACATTGTCACAAAAATGGGAGGACATTGTTGTTAAGTTGGTAGGACATTGTCACAAAGTTGGTAGGACATTGTTGCCAAGTTGGTAGGACATTGTTGCTAAGTTGGTAGGGCATTGTCACAAACTTGGTTGGTCATTGTCACAAAAATGGGAGAACATTGTTGTTAAGTTGGTAGGACATTGTCACAAAGTTGGTAGGACATTGTTGCTGAGTTGGTAGGACATTGTCACAAAGGCAACATTGTTGCAGAGCTGCCTGAATATTGATAGTGTGTTGGCAGAACATTTTTGGAGAGTTATTAGAACAAGTTTACAGAATTGACAGACAGACATCTCTATTTAGTGTTGTGGCCAAGAATAAACAAAACTAAATAAACAAACAGTATTTGCTGCTATGTGACTGACAGGCCGTTTGGTAAATAACCATCTATATAAATCTAATAGAAAGTGTGTTTGATAAAAATAGCCACTGACATTATAGTATTTACATTTGAATTAAATACATTGTACTTACTTTATGATTTGTGTATGCATTTCTAAAGATATTGTGGCTGCTCTCAAACATTTGTAAGTTTAGAATCTATTTAAAGTGTTTAAAGTAACAAGAAGAACAGATCTAGCAAATATTTCTTTCTTTTGGAAGCTGAGGCATCACAGATTAATGGGTCATAAAACTTGTCTTTTCTAGACCTGAATTACAACATGTATTTAAAATATTTTTATTTGAAATAAATAATATTTGAATAGTCTATATCTTTGTTCTTCCTAACATCCTGTATTTTTAAACACTGTAAACTTACATATCACATCCATATTGAAAATCCTTTTTATATTACTGAGCCATTTCTTTTGAAAATGTGATGAAATTTGGTATATATTTACTAAGTAAAGAGACTCATGACATTTATTGTGTAAGAACCCTGTTGCATGAGGATGACTCTGTCTGTCATTACAGATCACATGTGGAATGGATCCAAAGTCTTTCATAATTTATGAAAATATGTATCCAGATGATGTGATGTGGATGACCATATTTTACATGTTTCCTTCCAGACACCCCTTGATCCCAGAGATAGATTCCATCTCCCATTACCTGGCAGGGATCCCCCTGGAGGACTATGGACCATGTCTACAGTCCCCCCAAGATGAGGAGGACTCCAAACCATGTCTACAGTCTCCCCTAGATGAGGAGGACAGAGGTGATAAGGAGGACAGGATGCTGTACCACCTCACTGATGGGTACTCGGTGGCAGCTCTCAAGGTGGGTCATGTACCACCTCACTGATGGGTACTCGGTGGCAGCTCTCAAGGTGGGTCATGTACCACCTCACTGATGGGTACTCGGTGGCAGCTCTCAAGGTGGGTCATGTACCACCTCACTGATGGGTACTTGGTGGCAGCTCTCAAGGTGGGTCATGTACCACCTCACTGATGGGTACTTGGTGGCAGCTCTCAAGGTGGGTCATGTACCACCTCACTGATGGGTACTCAGTGGCAGCTCTCAAGGTGGGTCATGTACCACCTCACTGATGGGTACTCGGTGGCAGCTCTCAAGGTGGGTCATGTACCACCTCACTGATAGGTACTTGGTGGCAGCTCTCAAGGTGGGTCATGTACCACCTCACTGATAGGTACCGGTGGCAGCTCTTAAGGTGGGTCATGTACCACCTCACTGATGGGTACTTTCGGTGGCAGCTCTCAAGGTGGGTCATGTACCACCTCACTGATGGGTACTCGGTGGTAGCTCTCAAGGTGGGTCATGTACCACCTCACTGATAGGTACCGGTGGCAGCTCTTAAGGTGGGGTCATGTACCACCCTCACTGATGGGTACTTGGTGGCAGCCTCAAGGTGGGTCATGTACCACCCTCACTGATGGGTACTTGGTGGTGGCAGGTCTCAAGGTGGGTCATGTACCACCTGGCTGATGGGTACTCGGTGGTAGCTCTCAAGGTGGGTCATGTACCACCTCACTGATGGGTACTCGGTGGCAGCTCTCAAGGTGGGTCATGTACCACCTCACTGATGGGTACTCAGTGGCAGCTCTCAAGGTGGGTCATGTACCATCTTACAGTGGCAGCTGTCAAGGTGGGTCATGTACCATCTTACAGTGGCAGCTGTCAAGGTGGGTCATGTACCATCTTACAGTGGCAGCTCTCAAGGTGGGTCATGTACCATCTTACTGATGGGTACTCGGTGGCAGCTCTCAAGGTGGGTCATGTACCACCTCACTGATGGGTACTCAGTGGCAGCTCTCAAGGTGGGTCATGTACCATCTCACTGATGGGTACTCGGTGGCAGCTCTCAAGGTGGGTCATGTACCACCTCACTGATGGGTACTTGGTGGCAGCTCTCAAGGTGGGTCATGTACCACCTCACTGATGGGTACTCAGTGGCAGCTCTCAAGGTGGGTCATGTACCACCTCACTGATGGGTACTCGGTGGCAGCTCAAGGTGGGTCATGTACCACCTCACTGATGGGTACTCGGTGGCAGCTCTCAAGGTGGGTCATGTACCACCTCACTGATGGGTACTCGGTGGCAGCTCTCAAGGTGGGTCATGTACCACCTCACTGATGGGTACTTGGTGGCAGCTCTCAAGGTGGGTCATGTACCACCTCACTGATGGGTACTTGGTGACAGCTCTTAAGGTGGGTCATGTACCACCTCCTGAGTTGTCCTCAGTGGCAGCTCTCAAGGTGGGTCATGTACCACCTGACAGTAGCTGCTTTCAAGGTGGGTCATGTACCATCTTACAGTGGCAGCTCTCAATGTGGGTCATGTACCATCTTACAGTGGCAGCTCTCAAGGTGGGTCATGTACCATCTTACAGTGGCAGCTCTCAATGTGGGTCATGTACCACCTGACAGTGGAAGCTTTCAAGGTGGGTCATGTACCATCTTACAGTGGCAGCTCTCAAGGTGGGTCATGTACCACCTGACAGTGGCAGCTTTCAAGGTGGGTCATGTACCATCTTACAGTGGCAGCTCTCAAGGTGGGTCATGTACCATCTTACAGTGGCAGCTGTCAAGGTGGGTCATGTACCATCTTACAGTGGCTGCTTTCAAGGTGGGTCATGTACCATCTTACAGTGGCAGCTGTCAAGGTGGGTCATGTACCATCTTACAGTGGCAGCTCTCAAGGTGGGTCATGTACCATCTTACAGTGGCAGCTGTCAAGGTGGGTCATGTACCATCTTACAGTGGCAGCTGTCAAGGTGGGTCATGTACCATCTTACAGTGGCTGCTTTCAATGTGGGTCATGTACCATCTTACAGTGGCAGCTCTCAAGGTGGGTCATGTACCATCTTACAGTGGCAGCTGTCAAGGTGGGTCATGTACCATCTTACAGTGGCAGCTCTCAAGGTGGGTCATGTACCACCTGACAGTGGCTGCTTTCAAGGTGGGTCATGTACCATCTTACAGTGGCAGCTGTCAAGGTGGGTCATGTACCACCTGACAGTGGCAGCTTTCAAGGTGGGTCATGTACCATCTTACAGTGGCAGCTCTCAAGGTGGGTCATGTACCATCTTACAGTGGCAGCTCTCAAGGTGGGTCATGTACCATCTTACAGTGGCAGCTGTCAAGGTGGGTCATGTACCATCTTACAGTGGCTGCTCTCAAGGTGGGTCATGTACCATCTTACAGTGGCAGCTCTCAAGGGTGGTCATGTACCATCTTACAGTGGCAGCTGTCAAGGTGGGTCATGTACCATCTTACAGTGGCAGCTGTCAAGGTGGGTCATGTACCATCTTACAGTGGCTGCTTTCAATGTGGGTCATGTACCATCTTACAGTGGCAGCTCTCAAGGTGGGTCATGTACCATCTTACAGTGGCAGCTCTCAAGGTGGGTCATGTACCATCTTACAGTGGCTGCTTTCAATGTGGGTCATGTACCATCTTACAGTGGCAGCTCTCAAGGTGGGTCATGTACCATCTTACAGTGGCAGCTCTCAAGGTGGGTCATGTACCATCTTACAGTGGCAGCTCTCAAGGTGGGTCATGTACCATCTTACAGTGGCAGCTCTCAAGGTGGGTCATGTACCATCTTACAGTGGCAGCTGTCAAGGTGGGTCATGTACCATCTTATAGTGGCAGCTGTCAATGTGGGTCATGTCCCATCTTACAGTGGCAGCTCTCAAGGTTGGTCATGTACCACCTGACTGATGGGTACTCATTAGAATTTTTTCACAAAATCATCCCAGACAAGACGAATGTTCTTGCCGGAACACATTCCAGGTAATACAATAATGTCATAGAAGCTCCGGTCAATGTCTTGGATAGCTAAGAGCAAGAGTATCAGTGTCAAAGAGGATTGTGTTGAACAAATACATACGATTTTCATGTCTTCAGGTCAAATGTTTTAGCTTGGTTAATTATGTTTTTCTTTGAGCCACTTTGAGCTAGTCTTCCTTATAACACTAAACTGCGAAAATGTAGCCACTCACTCACTCACTCACTGTGTTCACCAGGCCATGACTGAACTATTCCACCTCCACCTGTCCGAGTTTGTCCGGAGATTGGCGCTGTGCTTCTCCCAGAACTCCCAGCGTACTGATGGAGGTATGTTACATGAATCTGTCTCACTCAATAGTTGGTTGGACATATTATGTCTGTACTCTTAGCTAAACTGAAAGAATAAACAGTTTTAGCATCATAATTATACCCCTCCTGTATTTTTTGGTTGACCTATATTTGTAAAAGTTGCTGTTGTTATTTTCCAGACAGAAACAATCCATTCGACACAGTTGATCTTACAAGTGACCTCCATAGGACTTTACAGACAGAAGAGTTGTCATTGCACCGTCTGTATGACTTCCATAGGAGCAGTCCACAGGGGAGACAACCCAAAGGCCGCTCTCCTCACAACAAGTGTTCCTCACAGACAGAAGAGTTCTACATAGCTGTGCACAGCCTTGACCTTCATCTACAAGCAACAATCACTAGGTGAGATATTTATCATTATTTTATCTTTTTTTCACAAAGAGATACAAACTGGGTTATGTGGCTAACTATGTTATTCTCCCCAGGGTCCGAGATCTAGCCAGTCAGCTTGAGTCTAGACTAGAAGATGTTCCAACCAATCAGGAAGGAGAATCTGAGCAGGCAGCCAATGAGAAGTGGCAGTCCTTAATGGCAGGTATAAAGGCGGAACTGGAAGCATGTAAAGGATGCTGGGACGAGGGAACGTCCCGTCTGGAGAAGGCCAGGAAGCAAGGTGCGTTTAGAATAAATAGATTCCAAGTGATTCTATCACATATGATTGGTTAAATGTTTCCATAAGACAAAACACATTGAGGACATGCCCATTAATGGACGACAGTTTTCCGATTGGCCAATGTAATGTATGCGTAACTCTCTAAAGTTAAAGTGGTCTCCCCTGATCTGATTTAATAGTCTGACGTATTGTATGACGTCATGTTATGATGCAGAAGTCAGCCTTTTCTCAGCCCTGGCAGATAGGGCAGACCAAAACAGATGGTAACTCAATCAAATATGATGTATTAAACTGTGTTGACTTTACCCCATTGTAAGTTCTTTCTGCTGCAGCTGTGGGTTCCATGGGTTCTCACGGCAACAACATGAAAGCCGATATTTCAACATGAAAGCCGATATTAAAATTGGGTTGCACTACTGCGCAGAACATGTCATTGATTTTGTTTTGTTCTCTTTTTTTTGGTATGTTAATGAATTAATAAGATGCCTCTGATATATTGGTAATATATTTGTTTTTGTAGATTTGATTTCAATACATTTTTGCACTTATGGAGTTATAAACATTAAAGCCTGTGTCCACACTCCACAACATGGATTTACACACGCTGTCTATTTCTCTGATACCCTCAAAACCACAAATAATAATGAAGTGAAATCTTTATTCATCATGGGTAGTGCCATGTCATAATCCAGTCTGACAAATATGAAAAAAAGATCAAATATCCTTCCTCTTAAAACCACTGTCTTGGTTATATTGTCTACCAGCTGTGGTCAGTTCCCCAGATCGATGCTCATGCTGTTGATCACAGGACTGTCTGGTCCAGACTCAATTATTTACAGACCACTGCCACAAAGCTGAAATATTGCTGAGTGCGGCGTTAAACAACCAACCAACCATTTGAGGATGGACAGACATAATTTGCTAAATATATTATTCCCATACAATAAGACATAAAGTTTCTGTTATGTTTGCAGTTCCAAAACTGGAGGTCCCCCCGGATCTAGTCTCAAAAAGTCCGGGATCCAGAGTAATTCCATTTGCTGAGATAGGAGACCCAATCATTGAGGATCAGGTACATATTGATATAGATTCGGTTACTGTGCAGCTGATAAAGGGAGATAACTATGTAATGCTCCAGTTGCCTCCCTTTACAGGACTATTCTTGATGAAAATTTGTGAGTACATGGGGTAACATACATTACACAAACCTTACGGGATCCCAGATGAAAACATGGGTCTCCAGCAGCCTATGTTCATTTAGAAACTAAATTGGTCAAGTGGTCAGTCTCTGTGACTTGGTTTTTATCCTGACACAGTCTAACATATTCCATAATGCATGGTTGTTGTGGTTGGACATCTATCCACAGTGTAACATAGTGTTATATTTGGGACAGTTGTCAACTATGTAACATAGTGTTATATTTGGGACAGTTGTCAACTATGTAACATAGTGTTATATTTGGGACAGTTGTCAACTATGTAACATAGTGTTATATTTGGGACAGTTGTCAGCTGTGTAACATAGTGTTATATTTGGGACAGTTGTCAACTATGTAACATAGTGTTATATTTGGGACAGTTGTCAGCTATGTAACATAGTGTTATGTTTGGGACAGTTGTCAACTATGTAACATGGTGTTATATTTGGGACAGTTGTCAACTATGTAACATAGTGTTATATTTGGGACAGCTGTCAACTATGTAACAGAGTTATATTTGGGACAGTTGTCAACGATGTAACATAGTGTTATATTTGGGACAGTTGTCAACGATGTAACATAGTGTTATTTTTGGGACAGTTGTCAACTATGTAACATAGTGTTATATTTGGGACAGTTGTCAACTATGTAACATGGTGTTATATTTGGGACAGTTGTCAACTATGTAACATGGTGTTATATTTGGGACAGTTGTCAACTATGTAACATGGTGTTATATTTGGGACAGTTGTCAACTATGTAACATGGTGTTATATTTGGGACAGTTGTCAGCTGTGTAACATAGTGTTATATTGTTATATTTGGGACAGTTGTCAACTATGTAACATAGTGTTATATTTGGGACAGTTGTCAACTATGTAACATAGTGTTATATTTGGGACAGCTGTCAACTATGTAACATGGTGTTATATTTGGGACAGTTGTCAATGATGTAACATGGTGTTATATTTTCGACAGTTGTCAGCGATGTAACATATAGAGAATCTCACCCAAGTGTCTTTTGATATCAAATATATCACCACAAGTTGATAAAGTTACAAATATCCAATGCTTGCCGAGGATATTTTTACTTTTATCAATGAGTGTTGATATATTTGATCTCAGAAGACATGAGGGTGAGATTCTATTTATCATCAAAAATCACTCTTCATTAGTTTTTAATGAAACATGGACATATCTGAACATGGTACTGCTTTTAGACTTGCAGTGCGGTGATGTCATAACATTGTGACATCATCAGGTTTTCGACGTCATAACATTGTGAGTCATGTAATTGATGATGTCAGGACATTGTACAAAAATCAACTGTCAAAACAATCGTTTGATCTCACACAAGCAATATCTCCTGTGGAACACAGTTTTGGATGATCAAGTGTTATATGTGGGACAGTTGTCAGTGATGAAACCCAATGTTACTAAGGATTATACTTTCTACAGCACTATTTGGGGGTTTAGTCCAATTCAGCATTCGAATAAGGCAGCAAAGACAGCGTTCAAACCTACTTAGCCACCATGGCTTCCAAAAGTCTGACAGCTGGCACACCTAGATCCCCCACTTGGTGTTCCCTGCAGACAAATGTAAATTAGCGTGTTTCCATGTCTGAAAACCTTTTAGACAGTGGTCAAACGAAGCAAATATGGAGTTACACTTTCTTTGTTATGTTCAAATTCTAGTAATTTCTTGTGGCTGAGCCCCATCCAAGCTTGCAACCCAAGACACCAAATTGCCAGTACACATAGTCATTGATATAATCTACCCAGTCAACAAGGGTTCTAAAATGGAAGTCTGACAACTGGACCAAATATACAGGTCACTGTAGTATAGTTAATAAACAAACACACAAAACAGACCTCATTGGTGACCCTCAATTGTTGTCATCTTCAGCAATATGGCTGCAGTACTGCTTAATGTATAGAAAGGAACTTGGAGACCATAGTAGACAAAAGTCATCAGGAGATGACACATGTAATCCACTTGGTTCCTTGCCATCAGATACCTTCAGTTGAATGAAGAAAAGAGCATAAAGTGCAGTATTTTTTAATATTCCTAATCATCAAAATTCACCACTATGCCAGTATAGCAAGTTTTCTAATGAAATATTCAACAATTTTAGAGTTCTGCTAGTGAAACAAGCACTCCCCTCTTTTAAATAAAATCTGTCCTGTCATCACAAAATAATTATTTAAAATGAGAATCCCAAATCATTGAAGGCACCCATTTACCACTAGAATGACATGTTTAGCAAGTTTCTTCTGGAAATATGCAATGGTTTTATACTTTCCCCTTTGGAAAGGATCACTATTCCTATTTAGAATCCAAAGCTGATGGCTATATCTGCCTGTTCTTCAAATCTGTGTAATAATATGTTGAACTGCAATACATTTTTCTAGTACTGTCTAGTGTTGTTGCGACCATACAGTCAGCAGCTGCTGGTTTGTGTGATACAAGCACTTGTAACAACACACACACTTGTTCACAGTCATCATAAATTACTTTTCAAAGAATGGGAGGATTAACATGTCTTTCTAAAGTTGTCAACGTCACTGATGAGTGTAGCCATCCCATAGTAAATCAAGCCAGCGTGTTCACAGCAGTTGAACATACCTTCTCTTGTGTATTCATACCCCCTCTTTTTGTACTCATTGTTGGCTGTTTCTGTCAGAGCCAGAAGAATATACCTTGATTCACACCGAAGGAACACCACAAACATTTCACTTTAAGAGGAACTTATTATCAATCATGCAAATGAATTTTGAAGAGAAGGAAACATTGGTCCCCTTGTGCTGGATTAAAAAGTGTAATCTGTTGTCGGAACCCTTAAGTTCTTCTTTAATGCTGAAGGCCGGTTAATGTAGTGTCAGTTATGACAGGAGGGATTAGTGGTGGAACAGTGTCAGTCAGTACGCTGTTTCGCTGATGACATATGGTACTGCAGTGTGAAATACTTGTTATTTAGATCCATGTATAAGGAGTGAGTGAGTTTTTTCGCCGTGTTTTAGCAATATTCCAGCAATATCACAGCGGGGGAGACCAGATATGGGCTTCACACATTGTGCACATGTTGGGAATCGAACCCAGGTGTTCGGCGTGACGAGCAAACGCTGTAACAACTAGGCTACCCCACTGCCCCCTTATAAGGATATTTTATATATAGAGATATATGTCACGGATATGCAAGCTCAATATCCTGTTCTTTGACATTTGGACCATTTTCATCCTTTTTCTAAATTATTTGAAACTTGAAATATGAAATCTAGGAAATGATTGAGAGAAGTGTGAATGCAAACTGATGTGTTGCCCACATAGGATAATGCAACATACCCCTGTAACCTACTGTACTACTTTTGAGCTTAAATACAAGACTGTAGATTACAGTAGTGTGACTTTAGGACAAACACTGAACTAACACTGCACAAAGTTGCAATATATTTAGAAATATTTTATCAACAAAAATACTGTGAAATTTGTTCTATTTTTTCTCCCACAAACCATGATTTGTTGTCTATAAAACTGAGAATCACAGAAACTGGCCATTGTTCGAATTGGTTTTTCATACACAGAAGTTTGACAAATTACTTTGAATAGGAACTTCAAAGTTAAACCAGTGGAGGAACAAATGTATTAGACATAGGGTTGACAGTTTTGTTTAATCCTGCACTCAGTTAGACATTAAATGTCAGACAGGACACCTGTGGGTGCGATCCTGAGACAAAGCAGCCTGTTTGCTGCTCTTCATCGCTCCTTCAAAATATCCTGACAGCTTTGGTTCTGTGGCCTGAAATTCAAGATTTAATGGCAGGCATTTAAATAGCGTGAGTCCTTCCTTCTGAATCAGGAGCATAATGGATGTAAACATATATACAGATCTGTTGTTAAGGTCTGTTGTTGCAGGTGTTTGAGGCATACACTGACCCCGATGAGGTCTCTTGTTGCAGATGTTCAAGGTGTATACCTACCCTGATGAGGTCTCTTGTTGCAGACGTTCAAGGTGTTCACCAACCCCGATGAGGTCTCTTGTTGCAGGTGTTCGGGGTGTTCACCTTCCCCGATGAGGTCTGTTGTTGCAGGTGTTTGAGGTTCACCTACCCTAATGAGGTCTCTTGTTGCAGGTGTTTGAGGCGTACACTGACCTCGATGAGGTTTCTTGTTGCAGGTGTTTGAGGCGTACACTGACCACGATGAGGTTTCTTGTTGCAGGTGTTTGAGGCGTACACTGACCTCGATGAGGTTTCTTGTTGCAGGTGTTTGAGGCGCACTACCCCGACCCCGGCGAGGTTTCTTGTTGCAGGTGTTTGAGGCGTTTGAGGCACACACTGACCACAAATGAGGTTTCTTGTTGCAGGTGTTTGAGGCGTACACTGACCTCGATGAGGTTTCTTGTTGCAGGTGTTTGAGGCGTACACTGACCTCGATGAGGTTTCTTGTTGCAGGTGTTTGAGGCGTACACTGACCTCGATGAGGTTTCTTGTTGCAGGTGTTTGAGGCGTACACTGACCCCGATGAGGTTTCTTGTTGCAGGTGTTTGAGGCGTACACTGACCCGATGAGGTTTCTTGTTGCAGGTGTTTGAGGCGTACACTGACCCCGATGAGGTTTCTTGTTGCAGGTGTTTGAGGCGTACACTGACCCCGATGAGGTGGAACCAGGGACCTGGAGCTGGGAGCCGATTCTGTCCCCGGAAGAGCGTGTGAGTATTACGGGGTAACTGAGCTCAGCACAAATTAATTGGGTCATGTTTTCAGCCAATATAGATATTTTGCCAAATTCTATTGGGTCTAACTGGGATTCTGTTAACAGCAGCACCTAACCCCAATTTATCATTTATTCGTTTCTTGATGAGTTCGGCTAACACACCTTGGACCAGATTGAGTCCTAGTGGTAATTGTTACCCCTACGTATATTAACCTGGTGATTGTACTTACATGTCGAAACCGCCTCTGTTGTGTAGTGTTTAGAGCGTCCGCCCGGAGAGCGGAAGGTCGCGGGGTTCGATCCCCGACCGCGTCATACCAAAAGACGTTAAAATATGGTACTTGTTGGTCCCTGCCTGGCGCTCGGCATTAATGGGTACAACAAGGACTGGTCGGCTCAGAGTCAGTATAATGTGTCTGAGTGGGGTATTCATGCTTCACTGCGGCATGGTATCTCAGTGGGCTAGAACTATAAAACCAGCTTAAGTCTGGGCTAGTACAAGCAGCCACACATACACATACACACGCATGCACGTCGTCATATGAGCGAAATATTCTCAAACACGACGATAAACCCAATTTCACCTCACCTCACTTACATGTCAATGTTATTAATAGGGTGTGAGTGAATCTTCTAGCTGCGGTCAGTTCATCATTGTAATCTGAGGATGTGGATTGTTGCTCATGATATGGATAACTGGTTTGCCTTGTCCAATGATGTTCAGGCTATTTTGTTATTACTGGAATATGGAAAAATGGAGACTACATAATAATATACCAAATCAGCCACTATTCAAAGAAAATCACATTTTCAAATGTATGTTGATGGAGATAACGCTTGTTATCATCATGCTACTGCTTCACATCATGTTACATTGTTTCAGGAAAAGAAAAAGCGCGAGAAACAAGAGGCACTACGTCTGCTGACAGAGCTCAAATCTGTCATTTCTGTCCGGGCCTACGATAGAGAGAAGAGGGAACAGATCGCACTGTCAAAAAATGGGTCAAGGAAAGAAAACTCTTTCAGGACATGATATGTCGGAAAATGCACCTCGAAGCATGATCCAGGGAGCTGAACAAAAGAGTTGTGACACTTCCAGTTTGTCTGGGAAGGATGAGTCACAGTCAGTCTGTGAAAGCACAGAGTCAAACAAGACTTCCAGAGTGTTTGAAAAGGGGGATAACTCTGATATGAGTAGAAACACCAGATCAAACTCTGACAGTAGCAATGATTGTGATGATACGGAAGACAGGGATAGTATGTTCAGTGAGTTGAGGAAGGGTGGGTATTCATTCTCTCAACAGGATGTTAGGGCTGAGTGTTTGAACTCTCCAACTGAGAGGCACCGACACCTGTGTGAGGGTGGTGTGCCTGAAAATCTCCCATCTGGTGACAGTCACAATAAGCCTGAAGCACTATCTGATGATGATCTGAGAAGGAATGAAGCACTATCTGATGATGATCGGAAAAAACCTGAAACCCCATCTGCGGGTGACAAGCAGATCAAGTCTGAAGCGCCACCTTGCAATGATGAACAGAGTATGTCTGAAGCTCCAACTGGTGGTGATTATGAACAATCCAGCACACCTCCATATTGCAAAGACTATGCTCCAGTAGAGAGAGAGAGGACATGAAGGAGAGGCTTGAGAGAATCCATGGAACCAATCTTGGTTTTACAGCCAATGTGGCTGCCATGGCTGCTGCTAGATCCGCATTGCTTCGACAAAGTGAGCAGACATTTGGTGACACCTTCGGAGACAGCAGTGAAGATGAGGAAGATGTTGTTGGATAGATGGCTACATCACTCATATCTTGGCTAAGACAATATGGAGGAGATCGGTTTCACAGATGACATGGGGACGTGCATGTTCTTCTTTGGCCTCAATACTTTATTTCTTGTTTTCAGGATTACCTGTTTTTCATGATAACCTGAATGTAAGACTACAAGAAGCAGGTCTGATTTGAAAGTGTATTAAAAAAATTATAAAAAGAATCATTTTCATTGACAAAGGAAAAGGTCAGTGGTAGGTTACTGACATAGTGGGAAACACTATGAGAGAACTTCAATCTCAGTGTCTTGCTCTTTCATAGTACCTTCTGTAAGTGGCATGGCATTTAGAAGCTGGTATGGTGTTCCTCTTCATCCATAATCATCACAACCTCTGTTGTAAGCTCTGTTTCAGTGTTGATTGGCAACATTGGATTGTCTCTCTGGATTGTCCCCACTCCCTTCAACTCATCAAGTGCAGATTTTAGTTGTACAAGCCAACCCTCACAAAATCCAACTCCAGCTGATATCAAGTTTAACCTAAAAACATATATATATTTTTTCTTTTGACATAGAAACAAAACTTCCTTTCTCAGTTGTGTCGTCTAGCATTATAGATAATAATAATAATAATAATGTGTCCATTTATAAAGCGCAACTCCACACCAGGTATGCTTATAGCGCTAACAATCAATAAGGTATTATTGAAGTCCATAGAACTTTTTGTAAAGAAAGGTTTTGAGATGACACTTAAAGTTTTCAAGGGTTGGAGACAGCTTAAGTTCATCAGGGAGGGAATTCCATTTGACTGATGCCATGTTCTGGTAAGACTTGCAGCCAAGTGATTTGAGGTTCCACTTTGGTACACAGAGCAGATTAGCCAAGGATGAACGCGGAGTTCTTGTTGGTATGTAAGGAGAGAGGAGTTCTTGAAGATACACAGGTGCAATACCATGAATGTACTGATAAGCAAGTGTAAGGATCTTATAGTCAATGCGAGCTTCAATAGGCAGCCAGTGAAGAGACATCAGGATGGGAGTGATTTGGCAGCGTTTTGGTTGGAGAGTAACTATGCAGGCAGCTGTGTTCTGGATTTGTTGGAGCTTTTGGATGGACTCTTGTGAAGCTGCAACCAACAAGCTGTTGCAATAGTCAAGTCGGTAGAGAATCAGTGTTCTCACCAGGGCAGCCGCAGCATCCTGTGACAGGAGATGTCTGATCTGTCCAATGTTATGGAGATGGAAGTAACATTTTCTGCACAGTTCCAGAATCTGTTTCTTCATGGATAGGTCAGGTTGGAGTAGGACGCCGAGATTTCTGACATGTAGAGAAGGCTGAATGACCATGTTTCCAACTTTCAACTCAACATGTTTTGATTTTACTAACATGTTTCTTGTGCCAACAATCATAACCTCTGTCTTGTATTCATTTAATTTTAGTTTGTTATTGAACATCCACGAACCAATATGGTCAATGGCATCTTCAGTTCTGGTCAAGTCAGAACTGTTGTCACAGCCCCAAGTAATACCATCAAACAACTGAGTATTGTCAGCATAAAGATGACGATTGGTAGCTTTCTCACAAAGCAGATCACCAAGTTCTCTGGTATACATAGAGAACAATACAGGACCGAGAACCGATCCCTGTGGTACACCACAAAGAATAATAGATTCCGCCGACTGAGCATTACGAACAGCAACAGATTGAGTCCTGTTTGATAAGTAGCACCTAAACCACAGAAGAGCCTTATCATTTAATCCATACTGGAACTGAAGTCTTGATAGAAGTATCTGGTGATCCTTCGTATCAAACGCAGCCGATAAATCCAAGAGAACAAGAACGGCTGAGTTCCCCCCTGTCAACGCTCCACTGCAAATCATTAAGAACACGGAGCAGGGCTGTTTCCGTGCTGTGGAATGACCTATAGGCGGACTGGAATTTGTGATAGAGGTCATGATGTTTACTCAAGTGCTGACTAAGTTGCATCTTCACAGCTCTTTCAAGTACCTTGGAGAGGAATGGAAAATTAGACACTGGCCTATAGTTGCTGAAACAGGTGGAGTCTAAACCAGTTTTTTTCAGCAAAGGTTTCACAATTGCCTGCTTGAAGCAACCTGGAACAGTGCCCCATTTCAAGCTTAAGTTGACAATCTGAGTGAACACAGGAAGTAAAATGTCAAAATATTCCAAGACAAATTTAGTAGGGGCTGGATCAAGTGTACACGTTGTGCCCTTTGATTGTTTGATGATGCAGAGAATCTGTTCCTCTGTGAGCGGGTCGAAGGAATCAAAACTCTCACCTTGAAAGAGTGCACCAGTTACAGCAATTGACTCAGGAGAAAATTCTGGCCTAATCTTCTCAATCTTAGAAGAAAAGAACTTGCCAAAGTCGTTTGCAAGATGTATCTGAATCCTTTATCAAAACTGTCCATTTCTGCGAGGTTATTGCTGGATACATTACAACATGGCCCTCTCTTGCCTAGTGTAAGATGTTGGGTGGTCTGTTACATGGTTGATAGTACGTCAGAGCACATTGCCCTTAACATCAACCAGTGTTGGGGACACACTCTGTCATTTACCAGCTGCCATGACACACCAGGAATACTTCTGTAGAGTAAAACAACGTAGAAAACAAAAATATATAGATGAGAAGGAATTCAAGGATGCATTGAATGAGTAAAGTGAGTTGAATGCTGCAGTGATCCCTATTTAAGTTATATCACTGTGTGTCATGTCGGCTGGAGGAAAGCTGAAGTGAGGAAGTCTCAGACGTTTACAGCTTGTCTTCTACTCGTTGGTAGAACCCACAGACACTGTCATCGAGTTAATAGAAACATAACAGAATTTGAACCCACGATGATAAGTTTCTGGTGTGCAATAAAGGGACGTAACTGTGCACAGTGAATTCCGCGTCTCAGACTTCTGGGCTAGTCATGCCACATTGGAGTTAAGAATTGGAAGAAAAGAAAGAAATTGAGTAATATTTAATCTGCTTCTTATACATACAGTAAAAAATCTGAAATTACATAATAAACCTCCCAATACATATTTATATAATATGGATACATCTAGTTCACTATATGGTCGTTACAGCTGGCACGTGCAGTGAGATGTATGTGTGTTGGTATGTGTGCTGGAACATGAGAACTGTCCACATGAAACCTGCAGTCATCTGTCCCTGTGTTGTCTTCTGGACCTCAGATTCTGCCTCCAGAAGCAAGGCATGGCTGGCGATGACCTGGAAGCAACCTATGGATGTGTTGCCGAACGTCCGGGCATGGGTAGTGTCAACTTGTGTGCACCCTTAACAGGTTAAAAAGGCCGGGGTGCAAACCTCCAAAATCCCCATGGGTTTCCAGTTTGTCTCCCATTTGCTACTCCTCAGCAGTGAAGATGTTATCTGCCCATGAGTGAAAGGACTGTAAGGCTATGGGTGCCTGGCAAGAGCCTGGCGATGTCAAAGGTTAAACTTGGAATTTACAACTGGAATAAACATGTGCCTTATAGTAAATGTCCAACAACCCTTTCACTTCATATTTTGGTGACTAAAGAGATTAATTTGATTAGCATATATGAAATTTCAAATTTTAATTATTTTCTGAAAATACAATCTTCAACATGGTGATGTCAGCATCAAATAAGTGTACAGCCCTAACCCTGCACAGCATGGGGTCAGGGGAGTGGGGAGGGGATCATTTTCACAGCCTGCCTGAAATATGAAACCATGAATGAAACTTTTAACCCACTCAAAGGCTTGTTTCTATGGAAACGCACCTCATCTGGCCACCTGACTGACACAGTGGGAAATTCAAATCTGGATTTAAACATGAGAAATATATTTTCAAAATGTATGTTTTGTATGTCTGCATCCATACATTTTGCTGTGAGTCTTCACAACATACTTCTTTATACTATGACTTAATATCAGCCTGAACCGGTAAGTCAATTTTGTGATATTTCATGGAATTTACTTGAATACTGCATTGCTTTACATCGAAAGACAGCTTTGGCAAGGTAAGGAGGCCACACCCCATCTGTGTATAGGTTTGAACCCTAGCCTGTACGGTCTGCCACTAACTTTTGTATAAGTACCTAGGCAATCGTTATGTGTTGTTCACATTCAAAAACCAATCGAGGGAGTATCATGCCCCCAACAAAGACGCAAACACCTGAATTGTGCGTCATGTACGTACATGTGCATGTCGCACATCACTCCTTAAAGCAGAGCGAGATTCCTTCTGAATATTATATAAAGCACGGTCACTCCTTTACGTAAGTAGATATTTAATGAAAGTGGCGTTCTGACATCAATTGACAAAAACAACCACATTAAAACAGAAAGCTTCCTAATAACACACGAAGTGAGCGAATAATCCTTAACACTGCACCAGCAAATAACGAATCCCTATGGTAAGACCAGCACAGGTTTCTGGGAACCTATCCCTATTCCACCAGGAATCCCAATGCACGTGTACAAGGCCCCCAGTTCATCCTGTGCACGTGTACAGGACTCACAGTTCATCCAGTGCACGTGCACAGGACCCTCAGTTCATCTTGTGTACGTGTACAAGACCCACAGTTCATCTTGTGCACGTGTACAGGACCCTCAGTTCATCTTGTGCACGTGTACAGGACCCTCAGTTCATCTTGTGCACGTGTACAAGGCTTACAGTTCATCCTGTGCACGTGTACAAGACCCTCAGTTCATCCTGTGCACGTGTACAGGACCCTCAGTTCATCTTGTGCACGTGTACAAGGCTTACAGTTCATCCAGTGCACGTGTACAATGCCCTCAATTCATCCAGTGCACGTGTACAAGGCTTACAGTACATCCAGTGCACGTGTACAAGACCCACAGTTCATCCAGTGCACGTGTACAGGACCCTCTGCTCCAGGGTTCATCTAGTGCACGTTAGACTAACAAGGCTTACAGTACATCTAGTGCACGTGTACAAGGCTTACAGTACATTCAGTGCACATGTACAAGACCCACAGTTCATCCTGTGCACGTGTACAGGACCCACAGTTCATCTTGTGCACGTGTACAGGACCCTCAGTTCATCCTGTGCACGTGTACAAGACCCACAGTTCATCTTGTGCACGTGTACAGGACCCACAGTTCATCCTGTGCACGTGTACAAGACCCACAGTTCATCCTGTGCACGTGTACAGGACCCTCAGTTCATCTTGTGCACGTGTACAAGACCTACAATTCATCCAGAGCA